TGATATGACCCCCCTCGACTGATTGCAGCGATAATTCTGCCTCCCTGTTGTTTATTTTGTTGTTTATTTTAGTGCCTTCAGCTTTCGGCATAGATGACGGTTGGTGCCAGAGAAACACAAGAAAGGAAGTGACAGCTTTTGTTTCACAACAGGAAGGAGGAGGGGCAGCTCTCAGGAAGCCCTGCCTGCCTCAGAGGGGCTTTAATGGGAGCCTGTGAGAAGCCAGTGTCCTCACCTGGCACTGAGCAATTCGTTTCCAAGGGAGCTCCGTGGAGTGGAAGGAAATGCATCCCTTCCTTCGAGGGCAAACAATAAATTCCGCGATATAACAAGCTAGAACCAAAGCATCTGGTTTTGTCCGTATCTTTCGACTCCAAGTGGGAAAAGGAAAAAGCCCCTTTCAGCTATGATACACCCATGGATAAACAACACAACTCACGGAGGTGACCATGTGGCAGCAGGCTCCGCCCCTGCCCAAGGGGCCTGCACTTCATTGGCTGCACACACACCATACATTTAAAGCACATGACATTCCCCAAAGAACCCTGGGACTGTAGTTTGTTGAGGGTGCTGGGGGACGGTAGCTCTGTGAGGTGTAAGCTACCATTTCCCATCGGGTTACAGACACTTCAGGTTACAGATGCTTCAGGTTACAGACTCCGCTAACCCAGAAATAGTACCTCAGGTTAAGAACTTTGCTTCAGGATGAGAACAGAAATCGCACGACGGCGGCGCAGTGGCAGCGGGAGGCCCCATTAGCTAAAGTGGTGCCTCAGGATAAGAACAGTTTCAGGTTAAGAACAGACCTCTGGAACGAATTAAGTTCTTAACCCGAGGTACCACTGTATAGGGGAGTTTTTAATATCTCTATGTTTTATTATGTTTCTGTATATGCTGGAAGTTGCCCAGAGTGGCTGGGGCAACCCAGTCAGATGGGCGGAATACAAATAGTAAAATTATCATCATCATCTTCTTCATCATTGTGTATGTGCAGCTGCTGTTTCAAATGAGCCTATGATGTGCTCAAGCGCACCTACAAAGGTTTCTATCCTTTTGTGCAATCAGAACTCTATTGCTGCTGTACTGCTACCATTTTTACGCCTCTCTCCCTCTATCTAGCTTTAAAACACTTCTGAAGATTATTTGATATTACTGAAGTAATTGTGCAGGAGCATTAAAAAAACCAAGTGTGATTAAACACACACACACACAAACAAAAATCTGATCGGGAGGAAAAGTAAACAAATGGTCTGCTCTGGTCCTTCCCTAACCACTGAACTACATTGCAGCTCGAACATGGGAGAAACACAGTGTAATCTAGACAGATGCAGTCACATAGTCAAAAGGTAAAAGGTAAAGGACCCCTGGATGGTTAAGTCCAGTCAAAGGTGACTATGGAATGCAGTGCTCATCTTGCTTTCAGGCCAAGGGAGCCGGCTTTGGTCCACAGACAACTTTCCGGGTCATGTGGATAGCATGACTAAACCGCTTCTGGCGCAACGGAACACCGTGATGGAAACCAGAGCGCACGGAGACATTGTTTACCTCCCTGCTGCAGTGGTACCTATTCATCTACTTGCACTGGCGTGCTTTCGAACTGCTAGGTTGGCAGGAGCTGGAACAGAGCAACAGGAGCTCACTCCATTGCAGGGATTCAAACTGCTGACCTTCTGGTCGGCAAGCCCAAGAGGCTCAGTGGTTTAGAACACAGCACATAGTCCCACTGCCTGGCATATGGAAAGACAATTGCAATTCCATGCATACTGACTCTATCTCACTACACACATGCACCTTACACCAGCTTTGGCTGCAGGAAGGGAGATAACTTCACTTTCCAAGCCATCCTCCATTTGAAACCTTTTTGGAAAGATCTCTACATCAAGAGTCTGTCTAATGATTAGCTCCCATTAAAAGACAACTAGCAGCTATCCTAGGCTATTAACCAGCCATCTCCCAGACAAAGGAATGGCTGGCTAGCAGCCATAACAATACATCCACATCCTTGTAAACAGGGGTTGCAAGCAAATTACCCAATAAAAGAGTCGCCACCGCCAAGGGCTGCTATGTTTAATATGCAGAGACCGTATTATGCTAGACTATCCACACTGTGGGGATGATGCAAGGAATTTAGACCACAATAAACAAAAGGAAGGACACGGGAGATTCTGGGAACCACGGGTGCAGTATAAACTGAAGCTATACGGCTGGCTTCAGCACAATTCTCAAGCTATCCAGCACTAAACAGATGAAAGAGCTTGCCAGAGGGGAGTGCTAGCAAGCTAATTGGCCCATGATAAAAAAAACAATACTTTAAGTGGGAAATAAACTCTTAACGCTGCTAATCCAACACGCAAGTTTAAAACTTAAGTGCCGCCTCCCACACTGTATCTGTCCCAAACTACTCTATGGACGCCGCCAAGTAATTGATGCATTTGGTAGCAATGCATCAACGGAGCGCCCATCAGTCAGGAGACATCATTAGAGCAATAAATTTTTATCCTACAGTACATTTCATCCAAGAAGCACTGAGTACACTATAAAACCGTTGATGAACTTGCTTTACTGCTTTGCTCTGCAGCTGGGCAGCCCAACTTTTCATACCAAGTGAGCCGCAAGAATACTTCAACACAGAACTTGCAGGCCACACACCACAAGGCCCAAATTTGATGCGCAAACACACGCCCTTGCACTGCCTTTCTGACTAAGTGAGGCACCAGGCTTTGGGAAGGGGTTGCAAGGCTCTGGCAGGATCCTAGAGCCCTCCCACCTCCTTCCCAAAGCTGGGAGATCACTAACTAGGCTTTGGGAGGTTGGTGGGAGAACTCCAGGACCATGTCAGAGCCCTCATGCCTTCTTCCCAAAGCCCAGCGCCTTGTTTACCTGGCTTTGGGAAGGCAGTGTGGGAGCTGGGGTGTGTGTGTCAAATGTTGCTGAGGGCCTTTGAGAAGCTCACAATGAAGTTTCTACACTCTCTCTGGAGAACTCTGGTCTATCGGCAGATTTCGAAAGGTGAATGAGACTCCACTGGGAAAAGGTCAAATTTTTCCAAAAGAAACGAAAGGGACACGAGAGAATGTATTGGCTCTTTAAGTCTCTGGAAACATATCAGAACAGATAATGAAGCAATACATCTTTAAGTCTCTAGGACAACACAGGGTGATTACCAGAGATCAGCATGAATTTGTTAAGAACAAATCATGCCAGGCTAAGCTAGTTTCCTCCACTGATGGAATAAACTCATGTTAATAGATAAGGGGGTGTAATTAATAACATATATCTTGACAGCTCAGCCTCTTCCGAGCCCTGCTATATTTCCTTGGTGTTGGAAGGGGAATCGCTGGCAACTGTACATCTGATGGTATCTCCTTGCTGCCAACCTTCCTTGATACCCTTTCCCTTTAGCATTTCCAAAGATGTGACTTTTCCTGTCAGTTCCCAAAGCAACACATTATTTCATGCTCATTGTTCTTTTACCTACTGCTCACCTTAACTTCTCAAGCTATCACTTCATGACAAGATATTCCCAGGTCACCTACAGCCTCTGTTCTCTCAGCCAGTTCCTTCCTGTTTGTATCAGCCCAATTCATTAATCTCTTAATTGGTTGCCCAATTTTCTGGTTCAAGGCAAAGCGGCACAGCATTTTATAAGAACTTTTGAAAGGATAAACACCTCCCTTTTTGAAGTTGACGCTCCATTCTTTTACAATTTACATTGTCCTCTCTTCTTCTCCACTCCCTCAACGACCTTTGCCTGCCCTCAGTTGCATCATCTCATTAGCAATTTAGCATTTGATGTCACTCATTACATGTTCATTACATGCTCCCCAACTGTTGGGAATCACCCATATCACCGCTTCCACAATCAGCCAATGAAAAACAGCTTAGACTCAACATTAACCAAGGGAAACAACACCAAACAATGTTATGAAATCAACTGGTCATGCAAAGTGTTCCTTTTGGAAGTATTTCTATTCTTCCACAAATCGTAGTTTTCAGCTTGAAAACTGAAATCGGGTAGCATTATGTACAGCCAAATATCTAAGCAGTTATAAAAGTGCTCAATTCTCCCTAGCACACATGATTTGGATTTGGCATCAGCAAACCCTCTCCTCTATTTGTGATGATCAAAGGTGAGGGCCAATCCTTAAACAGCAGGACCTCTCCTTATGGACATAATCAGTTCCGGAGGTCCGTCCGTAAGTCGATCCGGGTCGCTGGTAGAAGCGCCATTGTGCACAGGCGCATTCGGTGGCAGTGCACTCCTGTGCATGTATAGACGACAGCAGCCACTTCTGAGCATGTGCGAATCGCGGCAAACCCAGTACAGTCATACCTCATGTTACATCCACTTCATGTTATGTTCTTTCAGATTACGTCCCTCAGTGACCCGGAAGTACCAGAAAGGGTTACTTTCGGCTTTCACCACTCGCGCATGCATGCGCAGAAGCGCAAAATGACGTCACACGCATGCACAGAAGCGGTGAATCACAATCTGTGTGTGTGCAGATGCGCCGCTGTGGGTTGCACTCTTTTCATGTTGCGAATGGGCCTCCGGAACAGATCCCATTTGCAACCAGAGGTACCACTGTATTTACTTCTGGGTTTGTCGCGGTCGCAACTTGGATTGGGCTCAAGTAGAGGCAGTCATAAGTAGAGGTTCTACTGTACAGCCAAAACAGCATCATCTGCACACGAGGAGGAGGCATCAGCAGCCTGGAGCAGGGGGCACTGAGGTTTATAGAAGTACAAGACATCTTTAAAAATAAACTTGGAGGGGACGGAGACAGGACGGGACGGGACTCCACCACCACCTCAAAGCCAAATGAAGAACGAATATGTTCAATGGCTACAGGACACTTGCCGGGGGGGGGGGAGAGAAAGGAACAGAATATCATGGCAAAAGGCATGGCTGGCTGAAACAGTGAACAAGGGCACCCCATTCTGCAGCACCCACTTATAGCAAGTCCCTCTTTTTGAGTGCTATCGGCATTAGCTCATACCTAGAAAAGCGGAAGGCGAGACGGTCCCATTGCTTCTTGCTACCATGACGCTGATGCCGGTCTCCACAAAGGGCACAGAGAAATCCACAATTTGCGACCGCTCCTCATTGATGGTGAGGGACCCAATGGCCATGTCTGCTCGCTTGTAATACACCTAGAAAAGAATGAAACGACAGGAATAAATCCCCACCACCACGCGCACACAAAACACCACAGCAGAGCCAGCTGCACACAAACTGAGCAGAGCATCTTGCACTCATTGATCCCTTCCCTATCTTGTGCTGCATCTCTAACAAGCGGAAGAGGCTGCAACCTTATACACACATGTCTGGCAAGGGCCGTAGCTCAGTGGTATCATCTGCTTTGCATGCAAAATATCCCAGGTTAAATCCCCATTGGCTCTCCAAGTAGGGCGGGCAAAGAAGCCTGCCTGCCTGAAACCACCTTGGAGAGCCACTGTCAGTCACTGAACTAGATAGACCAATGGTCTGACACGGATAAGGCAGCTTCCTATAGGAGTAAGCCTCACTGAACACAGTGGGACTTACCCTAAGGAAATGTATATAGAATTGCTCCCTGGACAACCTATCTACATGAATGTACTAGTGGTAAAGGTAAAGGATCCCTGGACGGTTAAGTCCAGACAAAGGTGACTATTGGGTTGTGGCACTCATCTCGCTTTCAGGCCGAGGGAGCTGGCGTTTGTCCACAGACAGCTTTCCAGGTCATGTGGCCAGCATGACTAAACTGCTTCTGGCACAACGGAAGCCAGAGCACACGGAAATGCCATTTACCTTCCCGCCACAGCGGTACCTATTCATCTACTTGCACTGGCATGCTTTCGAACTGCTAGGTTGGCAGGAGCTGGGATAGGGCAACGGACAGATCACACAAACACACCATTGGCTATAGGAAACTAAAGAATAAGGGGGAATGGTTCTAACATAGATGCCTCCCAAATATGGCAGATTTCCATGTGCAAAATGACTAGCATTGTCTGTGTTGGCTCCTTGTCCTCATGGCCCATAGTAAGTTGGCAGTGCGCACCCTCCCTCCCAAGACACCAATCTTCTATTTGCACAGCATTTTTATATGGATGTCAGGTGCACTGTCCTTCTCCCCTTCCTGTCAGAAATATCATCTTGTCTTTAATATTGCTCTGTCTGCCTTGGGAACATCTGATTATGCTTTGTTCCACTCTTGCGACCCAGGCAGGAGAAATGACATTGCCGTGGCTATATAAAGGTTCTTTGTACTCCCCGCCTGCACAGCCTCCGCTCTCGAGACCACTTAGTGTAGGGATCCTTTCGACCAGGCTAAGATGCTTCTCCCCAGAACCAAGGGAGCTGGTGGGGAGTCAGGTCAGAGGGGGCAGCTAACTGCAGGTGAGTCAGTAATAGCCCTGTGAATGAATGAATGACATGACCCCAAACTCTCGCAGCACAGAGACTCACATTCACAGCACACACTATGCCTGCAACAGACGATGGTGTTGATGATGGAGAAAGACCTAAGGCAAAAAAAGCATTAGAGCCAAATAGTGGCAGTGAGGAAATGAGGCTGTAAATGCAGGACTGGGGTAGTTAAGGCGGGATGAAAATTCGTACCAATTCAAAAGTTCAGGATCTACAACAATCGAACCTTCAACCTTCAGTTCAATCTCAAGTGTGGACCCTGCTATAATCTGCAACTTGTTTGAGCAGTAATCCTTCCCTCCCTCAGCAAAAGACAGTGGCAGCCCTAGACATTTCTCAGTCTGGAGCGACCCTCCACAACTGCAGCCAATAAGAAAGCCTTGCTGTATCGTTTGCACACCACTTCCTGCCTTCATCTATCCTCCCACGGGGGGACACCTTAAGCAGGGCCACTTCCCCCTTGTGGCATGGTAGGGCCGGCTCTGCCTCAACTGGCTCCTCCCCCTTTTGCACACGGTCCATGCTGGTGATGCTGCTGCCGCCGATCCTCCTTCCTTATTGGCCCACCCCAAAAGGCAAGGATTGGGAAGAGGCTGAATAGGGCCAGCAACATTATGCCACAACTTGCTAAATTCAATACCTTGTGGAGGTTCCTCCCCACCCCACTGCATCTTTTTTAAAATATATATATATATATATGTTAATTTAAATTACACACATATACAGAGAATTTAGAAAGAATTTACAATCTCATACTACAAAAAGAAAATTAAAGAAAAAACAATTAAGGAAAAAAAAGAAACTACAGAAAGAAGAAAGAAGAAAAAGCAGATGTGCATAAAAAACCTTCCTAATTAATACTTAAACACTTAAATAAAAAAGACTTCTGACAAAACGAGTCTTCCAATCATTCTCATTGTACTGTTTATACTGTCATTGTTTTTTCGCAGTTTTATATTCGTTAATATTGTTCCCATCTACTCCACAAACAGTGTTTATTGTGTTTACAAGTATCACTCAAGTTCTGCTAATATGGCGTGGTTGGTACAATATGATCTTATACAATCCTTAAATATTCTCCATTCTCCAAATATTTTCTGGTTCAATGCTCCTCTAACTCTTCCCGTCAGTTTTGCTAGTTGTAAATATTCTAACATGAGTATCTGCCAATCTGTAATTGTCGGTATTGTTTCGTTTTTCCCACTGCATCTTAAACCCCTCAAGACTAACAATAGCCATAGCTAGCAATACTGAAAGTTCAGAAAGATTCGCTTGAAAAATTGTTCCCGCCATGTGTTTCTGAGGCCGCTTCAGATCACAGGCGCTTCCCGATTCTTCTGAAGTCTTCTCCCATTTTCTCTAGTGGAAAATTTTAATAGCTGGAATCCTGGAGCAAGAATAGTTTCTACTTATGGAGAAACGGTGAGCGTTCAAGCTAGAATTCGGGGCTGCATGCCTAATACCCCACTCCCAATTTCATTGCTGCCAATCACCGCCTTTCCCCCCCTCTCAGGGCTGCTTAGCTGTATTTGCCAGCACACACAGTGGGCACTTAGTGCTGCTCTGGTGACTCAGCCAGTTCAGATGGATTTATGGCTCCTTACCGGGCAGATCCAAAGCAGCTGGAGCACACCAAAGCTGTGCCTGGTGTAATGTGTCAATATTTTCTCATCCCTTTTCTAACAGGTCAGATAAAACCGACTGTCCCCTGGTTGCAAATTCTGACATGACAGCTCTGGCCAAGCTGTATGTTTGATTTCTGCTCTACCTGGAGATCTCCTGCCGCACACAAAGGGCATAAGGAAGAAGGGGAGGCTAGAACCTTCCTTCCTGTTTCACAGGACATTTGTGACATAAGTGTTCCTACATATAATAAAAATAAATAAATAAATTTTTATTTATACCCCGCCCTTCACGGTTCAGAAAACCAGGCTCAGGGCGGCTAACAACAAATTTAAAACACTTAATTGATGCAAGAAAAAAACAGCATGAAATACAGTATAAAACATGAATGACAATAAATTCAGAATTCAAAAATCATTTTGGGGGGGGGAATCCATCCAATAAACATTAGATGACCACCAGGGCTAGCTGGCTAAATTAGTCCTATTTGGGCCAGCAAGGAGACCAGGGGAGAATTAGCTGTGGGATCCCAGAGTGGGTAATCTTCATAAAAAGGGGAGGGGGAGGAAAGGAAGGGGAATAAAAGATCGGGCTAAGTTCAAATTGAAAGCCAGGTGGAATAGCTCTGTCTTATAGCTTCCCCACCCCCCCACCCCAGTTTGTATTGTGAATAGGAATAGTCCTGGGAGGACTGTACAATGTGCTTTTTCTGAATATGGCTGTTACATCCATGCTGCAGATTACATCTAAATATGGATGGGGTTGAAAACATATGATCAACAGCTAGAGAAATGTAAACTGAACCCATGGAACAAACTTTTCTAACAAATGATGTACGGAGGCCACATTCACACCAGACATTAAAGCACTATGATACCACTTTAAACAGTCCTTTGGGGAGCCGTAATTTGTTAAGCGTGCTGAGAGCTGCTAGGATACCCCTATTCCCCTCCAAGAGCTACAATTCCTAAAATTCTCCGGAAAGAAGGATTGATCCAACTCTACATCCACTCTCATTTTAACACAGTTTTTCTCAAACTTGGGTCTCCAGCTGTTTTCGGACTACAATTCCCATCTTCCCTGACTACTGGTCTTATTAGCTAGGGATGATGGGAGTTGTTGTCCAAAAATGAGTCTGGGAAACAGTGCTCTAACAGAGGCATCAGGAGAGTCCCAGATCTTGCATATCCGATGACTTCTCTGTTACTCGCTATACAGATGTTACAGAGACTTTCCTAGGAAAATGCAACCTTCGCGTATTTCCTTACCTCTCCGATCATGCCATTCCAGAAGCCATCAACTATTTTTCCATGTTTCCCATTTGTCACCAGGTAGAGGTCATAGGAGAACTTCACTGTCTTGGCCAGCTTCTTTAGGATATCAATGCAAAAGCCTTTGCAGCAGAGCTTGGTGTAGGGATCCATTGGTTCTTCTCCACTGAAAGAAGGATATATTAAAAACACACACATAGGACATGCTTAGTAGTCCTTTGCCTCCTGCATTGTGCTGGGGCTCTCCAATGATCTCTTAAGCGTGAGGGTGATCTCCGCCTAACTCCCTGGCCCCTTCCCTGTTTACTCAGAGCAACACTATAGCAACTGGCTCCATCACTCTTTTCTCAGAGGGGCTAGAACTCAGTCATTTGGAGGTGGCAGCCAGCCACATCCCAATCATACAATTTTTGCAATACAACTTTATCAGTGGCAAGAGAGGCTGCTGCTCCCACCTTTCCTATCTCACAAACATCTCTCTCTCTCTCTCTCTCTCTCTCTCCCTCTCTCTGTGTGTGATGGCCATTACTGAAGTCAACTTTGCACGCAAATGCTCTCACGAAGCACACAGCTGTTAGCATGTTCTGTCCCATGCCATTGCCCTCTAAGCACCTGTGAGGTTCTGGCATTCTGGAGCCCCACGCAGCCTAGCTGGGCTGCACACATAGTCAAGGTGTCTAGGTAGAATGAGTGATAAGAGGCACACAACTAGGTTTGATAGTTATAGAAAGCAGATTCCAAAATACCCATCTCTATGACGGCTGAGGCTCCAATACTTTGGCCACCTCATGAGGAGAAGACTCCCTGGAAAAGACCCTGATGTTGGGAAAGATGAAGGGCGCAAGGAGAAGGGGACGACAGAGGACGAGATGGTTGGACAGTGTTCTCGAAACTACCAGCATGAGTCTGACCAGAGTGCGGGAGGCAGTGGAAGACAGGAGTGCCTGGCGTGCTCTGGTCCACGGGGTCACGAAGAGTCGTACATGACTAAACAACAACAAATGAGGGCTTACTAGCCCTGCTCATTTCCACTTACTGCCCCAAAGAAAAAACAGCAGACAGTTTTTTGCAAATTTGCTGAAGTCCCGTCTGCAGAAATGTTCCTTCACCCTTGAGTATGTGCAATCCTTTTCCTTCTTAAAGGTTGGGAGGGGGGTCACATGCATGCAAGGTGACAGCAGGCAGGGAGGAAGGGAGGAGTAACTGATTACAAGAAGCTTCATGGAGGGGATGCCTCCTAGCTCAAGAGGAAGTGGGCAGAGGGGGAAAGAGAGTGTCTGGCAATCTTTGCTCAACTCCTAAGGAAGGGGACATGCTATCCTTAGCACTAGGAAAAATGCTAATCACGTCTGGGAAACTCTGCACACCACAGTGGGATGCGGGGAGATGAGCAGTCATCTAAACAGTCTGGGAAAAACATCCAGTCAGAGACCACTCCAGGAAAAGAGAGGAAAGATTAGGGGTTCTGGCTCTGACAAGAAAGCATTTGATACAGGCCTGGTAAAACAAAAAACAACCCCCCTTAGGTTCCACCTTAAAACTAGACTTGCTTAAAAGATTGTACTTGTTGTTGTTGGAAATGATAGCTGAAGTCTCACTTGCTCACAGCCAGTTTGCATGTCAGAGCCAGACACATCAGAGTGTTGGCACCTCACTCGTTCCTTTTGTACTGATCTGATCTCCAAGGGAATTGTCCTCACCTCCTCTCTGCTCAAAAGGACAGGGAAGGAAGGGGGTGCTCCACCGCTGTGGTTGCTGCCACCACCAGCAACATCACTTGATCTCAGGCCGTGGATGCAGGTGAGCATTCCCCACATGGCAACTTGGCGCACAGGCCATCTGCTTAATTCCAACTGGTGACAGGGAAATAGAATCTTGCCACATTTCTGCACCTGGTTACAAACCCCAGAAAGCAAGCATGGGGACAACACTTTTCTGCTTGGTAGGACAATTCAGCCAATGAAACAGAGTGGGCAATGCTCACTGGGAGAGAATGGGGTTTCCCTGAAGGTTTCAGGTCCAAATCCTAACCGTCTCCAGCTAAAAGGTAGCAAGTAATCAGGCTAGGAGGCCTTGGCTTTGGCCTTCCCCAATTCTGGGGCCTTACAGATGTTGTGGCACTCTAGCTCCCATCATCCCCGATCACTGCCCACACTCGCTGGGGCTGATGGGAGCTGGAGTCCAGCACCAGTTGGAGGGCACCAGATTGAAGAAGACAGCCTTAGTTATTGCCGGTCAGAGTAGCAAAAAACTCTTTACCAAGATTTGAAATATTTGAATGCTGTCATTTTCCTTAATTGCATATTTTTGTTTCATTTCACAGAGAAGGTCTTTACCTTTAAATATTGCATATAAATGTTTCCCATAAATAAACAGACGACAATATGGATGGACACACTACAAGGCAGATTCATATGTTCAAAACTGGCTTGCCAAACCATGTTTTCCCCCAGGGTGCTTGTGAATATACTGCCCACTGGAAGTTAGTTTCAGAATCTGTGTTTCTGCAAAAGCTTTCCGATAGTTTTTAACCTACATTTATTAAGCTGGGGAAAGTAGCTTGCTTCTTCACCCAGCAGGTTGGCTGACACAACTTTGATCAGAGGACTGCAGAGGTCGGCAACAGGCAGGTGATTAATAACTATGGGCAGACTTTTCAGGTTAGGTCTCGGTGGGGGCGTGCGGCAGACCGACTGCCATGACCACCTTTCCAGCTAGTTGCCTCCAAGGAGCAGCCACAGCCTTGAGAGTCTGCTTGCAGGGTCACTACATGTATGCAGTCCTGGAAGTGTAATTGATGGGCCAGCTCACCAGGTAGCCTGCTGGGAAAATGCTACCTTTATAGACATAGAAGTGGAGGGGAGGATGCTGCTGCTGGGGCTTCAAATCTACCTGCAAGCCAGAGACACCTCATCCAGAGCCTCCATCCCAAAGCCTCACCTTGCCTAGAGAAACCAAGCTGTCGGTGTTGGGACAGGAATCCTTCCTGCATTAAGAAAACACTACTTCAAATTCCTTCAATGTTCTGCAGCAAGGGTGAGAAGCCTATAGCCCTCCAGGTGTAGTTGAGCTCCAACACCCATCAGCTGCAGGAGTCATGTCCAATGGTCAGGGATCATGGGAACTGGAGTCTAGCAACTGCTGGGAGAAGGACACAAGTTCCCCTCCTCTGTTTGGAGCAGTGTTTCCCTAACTTGGGTCTCCCACTGTTTTTGGACTACAATTTAAAATATCACCTAGTACAGGCATAGGCAAACTCGGCCCTCCAGATGTTTTGGGACTACAACTCCCATCATCCCTGACCACTGGTCTGGCTAGCTAGGGATGATGGGAGCTGTAGTCCAAAAACAGCGGGAGACCCAAGTTTGGGAAACACTGGTTTAGAGGAAGCAGCATTTCTCACTGGGATCCACTACGGTTTGCAGCATTTTTAGTTTCTCTGTCTTTGAAAGCTGCAAGTCCAGGAGAAAGTCAGCAAGTGAAGATTTTCCAATGCAGTGATAGGAAAAGCTGTGCTGAACTGAATTTGCCTTTGTAATGCAACTATTAAAAACATGGTGACCCTTATTATGGAAGGAGAAGATAATTAAAAGTAAGCACAAAAATAATCTCATTTGATAACCTTGCTATCATTTAGTGAAATGGAGGTTTATCTTAATTTCTGACTACCTGGTTCTTAAAATTGCCTTACTCATTGTAAGGATATGATACATAGCAGATGTAACTATGATGCATTGAGATTTGCATACAAGTTGTTTTCTCTTTTTTGTTATTTCTATATTTATTTAAAAATATAACAGTAATTTTTTAAAAAAACGGAGAAAGAAAAGAAACAGTTAAGAATGCTCTGATTCCCAAGACTCAGCCAGCCAGGAACACTCAAGGTAACTTCTCTGTTTTCCCTGCTAAATTTTTCAGAAGTAAAAAAACCTCTGAGATCTCCATTGACTGATAATCATTTTCATCCATCAAGATGACTCCCACTTCTAGTGCCACCCTGGGAAGCAAACAAATGGCATTTCAAACTAACGGCAACGATTCCTCCAGCCAGTGGCCCAGCATCCATCATGTTTGTGTAATTTTTATGCAAATTCAATTAATTGTGTGATGTAAATTAAAATATGTCAAGTCCTGATGTGCTTCTTTTGTGGTTCTGGATACTGAGCACACTTCTCGGGGGCCCTGCCTGGGGCAAATTCTCATATTCCTTGGGCAGGCAGCAGGAAGGATAACTTTATCACTCACACACTCGGAGTCAAGAAGGATAAAGGAAGCCATCATATAAAAAGAAGACTCCCAGCAGCTTCCTCTCAGCTTTGCAACTGAATCGAAAGACAGTCAGTACACCAGTGAATTTGTCCATCGTCTTGCCCCTCCATGCTTCAGGTGGCTTGCCTCTCTCGGACTCACACAGCCACCTTTTGTCTTGGAAAGTTAATTACGCTTCCCACAGATACAGAAAAGAGAGTCACAGGCTCTGATCTGCTCTGCAGACTGCAGAGGGTGTGACAAGTTTGATCTTGCTTCACACAGAGCCAGCAAAGGGCACAGCCCTTCCCCATTTCAGACGTCCATACGAAGTCAGAGACTTGTTTCTGTGGTTTTGGGGCAGCAGGAGTGGTGGTTGGGCAAGCAAGTCAGTGCCAGGCAGACTGCTTCAAACACGATATGCTTGTCCAGTTTATACTGAGGAGCCAAGAAACTTCGAAGAGGCTTAAGCCGAACTTCCAGCATCTACGGCTGCGATGCTGGCATTATTTGAGTTGGTAGACTCGCGGTTTGCCTCTACATAGCTCCCATCCTTATTTTAGACATTGTGATATATTGGCATAGTGCAATGTTTAGCTGGTGATATATCTCAATGTTGAAATCCAGATATCGTCCAGCCCTACTCGCAACTAAGCTATTTGAAGTGCAAGCACCTTGTCCCAAGACTACTGTGCCCTTTTAAAATGGGGTGTGTGTGTGTGTGTGTGTGTGTGATTATTGGGTTGTTGTTTTTATTTTGGTTGTGTATTTTGTGGTTTTATATTCTGATTTTAACCTGTGAAGCGCCCTGAGCATAGCTGTCAACGTTCCCCTTTTTAAAAGGGAAATTCCCTTTTTCTGAATAGGATTCCGCGCAAGGAAAGGGAAAAGTTGACAGCTATGGCCGTGAGACCTGAGGGTGGAGGGAGGGAGATAGATTAGATAGATAGATAGATAGATAGATAGATAGATAGATAGATAGATAGATAGATAGATAGATGATAGATAGATAGATAGATGATAGATAGATAGATAGATGATAGATAGATAAATAAGAACATAGCGGCTGAAGGACTCGTCAGCACACGGCAGAAGATTGGTACAGAGAACACCAGGGCAACAAGAATTGAGTCTGTTGCATAAGGTACCACCAGCTCAACCACGGACCCTGCTGGAATGTTCATGCCATTGAAGAAGCAACCCCAAAGGTTATTATGCAAAGGGTTATCAACCCCTTCATGAATTCTCCAAAGATGTGGACATCTGAGTTCCACATCTGGCCCTCTGATCAGGCCACTGAATTCAAACATGATCGTGCCTGCCTTGCTGAATATTCTTTACGATGTGAAAGAAGGCATCAAGGTGAATGATAGCGGCCCACAACATGAACCCTTCGTTAAGAAAGAAAAAACCCTACGAGCTGTTCTCAAAGCAGCAATAAGCCATAGTCCTGTCAGTGCAAAAAATCCCACTCCAAACCACCACCCCTCTCCCATGTGCCCCTTAAATCTGTTCCAGGGGTTCCCCCAACCCTCCAAAGCAATTTTAGGGAGGGCATGGGATGTCCCACTGCACAAGTGGAAATATCTGAGCTATAGAGGTGCAGGAGTTGGGATACTGCCCTATTTCAGCTACAATGGGAAGGCCTATGGGGCAGGGGGGGCACATGGCTTCCTCCAGAGGCTGGTGGACATCCACTCCCATCAGTCCTAGACATTGTGGCCGATGGTCAGGAGCTTGTAGACTAGCAGCAATGGAAAGGCGCCATGTTGGTTAACCCCACTGCAGGCTTATGCTGGGGAGATGGCCAGCAGGGGGAGGCAGCAGGAAGCTCAATGCTCAAAAGGCACCCCGTACCCGCAAACCAACCCTAAATATAGACTTGTGCTAAGTGTGTCCCAGAAATCCTTGCTGCAGTCCCCCACCCTTTAACTGCCTTCCTATTTACCTCTTTGTGTGGTTGGCCTGTTCCCGGCAGGGGACGGTATTGCGGACGCACACTCCAGTGGTTGGGTCTGTCTTCTCCACAATGACAAAGGGCCGCTCCTCCAGGGTGGCTACTGTGAGGTGGTGGCTGTCGGCCATGGGCTGCAGGAAGGATCCGTAACGTGGCCACACCGGGTATTTCATGTGGATGATGCCCTTCTCCCATTTCCCCACCTGTGCAATGAGGCAGAAAGCAAGGGACACGGTTTGTACCAAGCAAAAGGAGGTCCTCAGCCATGTACACACCTTTGACACCCCGGCTGTGCCGTCCTAAATAGCCTGTTGTCAGCAGAAAATTTCTGCTGCAAATGACTATAAGACTGAGAGGGGAGGAGAACATAGGACAGAGCCAGGTCTCTGTGCAGCTCATAGGAAACCAAACAGCGTGAAACGGACCCAGAAGTCAACACAGGCCCCCCGGGGCACAGGAAATGCATGCTGCTGGCAGCCTCTGCACTGACCGGGGAGGCGGCAGAGATTGGCAGCTTCCAGGCAGTCCCAACCCAGAACAATTTGCCAAGCAACTTGATGACAAGCCAACAGAGCAATTGGGAGGGCAGTTAGCATTCAGTATGTTTTGTATGGATACAGAAGACAGATGTTTTATTTCTGTTTCCCTGATTGAATGGAGGTGATTTTTTTGTGGGGGGGGACCACACTCCCGCTGCAACTGACTTCAGGAGATAACAGTCATTTTGGAAATAGAATTTGTGATATTAGTTTCAAATGAGCCAGATTTTGAAATGGCCCGGCAGCAATTGGCTATAGAAGCTCTTATTTATTTACAGAGATTGAACACAAAACTAGATGTAACCCCAGGCAGGAGGAACTTGGGTTTTAAACAGAGCATTGAGTGGAGAGATTTTATTTTGCTCTGGGACAGTTGTCTGGCTCCAGTAACCAGCTAGAGCACACTCTATGGCCCCACTGTTAACTCTAGGTCTGCTGCTCCTCATCTGAGCTCTCCGTGGTCAACCTGTTACTTAGCTGGATATCACACTCCCCAGGAAGCTTGGAGGCTAGTATGTGAACTACAGTCGTACATCGGAAGTCAAACAGAATCTGTTCCAGAAGTCCATTCGACTTCCAAAATGTTTGAAAACCAAAGCACGGCTCTGATTGGCTGCAGTAAGCTCCTGCAGCCAACTGGAAGCCCTGGAAGCCCCGTCGGACATTCAGCTTCCAAAAATAGTTCGCAAACCGGAACAGTCATTTCTGGGTTTGCGGCATTCGGGAACCAAAACGTTCAGGGACTAAGCTGTTCTAAAACCAAGGTACAACTGTACTTCCCTGGAGAAATCAAACCTTGTATCCATGAGCAAGGAGATTCCCATGACATGGATTAAAAGGACCACTCCACTAAAAAGCTCTTGCTCTTTTATAGTTCTTTAATCATCCCAAAGGTGATTATTACAGAAACCAATCCTGGGGCGTGTATCTCAAGGGATGATGGGTCAAAACCTTGCTTGATCAAAGTTGCAAAAAGGGAAGGGATGCAATGGCACAGAGTTGTTGCTTTCCATAAAATGCAAAAAGCGGTGGTGGTGGATAGGATTCCGAATTTTTAAAATCTACTCAAGTTATTGTGATCTTACTGAAATTACATTTTTATTAGAATTTATTTTTATGTATATTTATATACTGTGACAACAAAAGCTTTGCAATAAATTGATAAGATCAAAGTGTGGTCCAAGTCAAGCATGAATCACTTGACATTAGAGATGCTGCCAAGACCTGCTCAGAAAGATGAATCTTGGGGCTCACAAAGCTCACCCCAAGTACATTGTGAGCAACTTGACCCCTAAATTATCCTTGAGCTAAAACGTCTGGAGGAATGAAAAAGTTTTTTCAACTGACATTGAAATGACACCAGCAAAGCATCATAAAAGCCTTTCCTCCTCAGTGACCAACTCACCATATCTATATCAATTGGGGCACCAAATTAGGACCTCCAGAGATTATCTCAGCATCCTGGTAGGTTCAGATAGCAACAACCAATTCATCGGATGTGCCACATTTTAAAGTCAGCCCATTTAAACCAAATTTCATTGAAAAACCATATAGTGTACATTTTTACACACTTGGCATTTAGGTGGTAATCTTGGCTACTTTCACTACTGAAACATGAACATTATCAACTGAAAACTATTTATTTATTTATTATTTATTTATTTATCCATCCATCCATCCATCCCCAAACAATGAATTTTCAGAGTCAAATTCTGGAGTGTAGTTATCTAAATTCTCAAGTTGCCATGTTTAATCTGAGGCATGCAGGTTTAAGGCTGTGTACACACCATACATTTAAAGCACATTTAGCACATTCTCCCACCCCCAGCTCAAAAGAATTCTAGAAACAGTAGTTTGTAACGAACTGTGACTCCGCAAGGGGTAAATTGCAGTTCCCAATATTCCTTTTGGTGGGTGGGGAACAGACTTTAAATGTATGGTATGTGTGCAGACTTGGTGAATTCAAACTATACCTTTCAAACTTGATTTTGCTCTTAGAAACACAAAAGGAATGCAGCAAACTAGGATGGATGGATAAAGGCTTATTGTTGTTCGAAAAGATAGATGTGTTCTCTTTTTATGCTATTTGGCAGTTCCCTCAATACCTTCAATGAGAGAATATTAGGACAAGTCCATCCTAACACGGCAAATGCAGTTGTATCGACTGTGTTTATAGCATTGTACTCTTGGTTTCTTAAGAGAAGTATTGACAAAGCAATAGTAATAATTGCTATGATACACGAGAGAGCATTTTAACAGCCCAAACCAGTCATATCATAAAGGGAAAGTGTCAATGGAAAACATTTACTCAAACAGCAGGGTTGACTTAATTAACACTAATATTATTCCACTGGTAGCTTTCATCTCGGCCAAAGTACTTATGGCACTCTTCCAAAAAGAATAGAAAACCCAACCAGAAATATTTAGTAACACATGTTTATCGGATAGAACACACACACACACACACACACACACACACACGGCCATCACAAGCAACTGGCTCTATTTTCCTCCCCTAGGTTTTGCCACTTCTGAAGAGAGAAAATAATGGCCCAGTCTCAAATGCTTAAAACGTCCAACCATGGAGCAGGGAGACAATGCCAGTTCTCCAATCAGCAGTAGGATTTGGTCGCATGTATGGACCCCCAGCACAGTCTAACTGCCAGAACATGCTAATAAGGCCAGGGGAATGGCAGGTCACCACCCTCCGGAAAATTCTGACACAAAACTGGGGCTGTGACACTGTTCAAGAGCCTATACTTACTGGAGCATTCCTATCCGGTAAAACCATGCAAGGATAAATGAAGCCAATAACCGTGGACGACCCAAAATTAATCTTGACTATATAGGGCCAATCTAAGACCCTGGAATCTTCAGGTTCCCATCTGGAAATCTGGAAAGCCACAGCCAGTCAGTTTTGACAGTACTGAACTAGATGGACCAATGATCTGACTCCGTATAAGGTAGCTTTGCATGTCCCTGTGACATTTTGCAGAAAATGGTGCCCTTTCTACCCCAAGCAGCACAGTATCCGAGGCCAATTAAGTTATTTTACACCCCTATTCCAGACCGTAAAAATGCCCCAATAATAAATGGAACAACTAACAATTTGCTGCCCTTTCCCGACACGCAAAATCATCTGCCTGAGGTGGCCACCTCACTCTGGCTAATGGTAGGACTTGACCTGTGGACTAGACAAAAGAATAAAGAGTCTCACACAAAATGTAAATACTGTTCAGTGCCTATAGCAGGATATCAAACCATCTAAAAACAGAGCTTTATTCTATCTTTTGCCCTTTCTCCCTCTGAGGTAGAGATGGATAAGTCTATTTCTGCTCCATGTCAATTTTGCATGTGTTCGGTCACAACTCTGCTCTATATTCTGTTTCCACATTAAACTGTGGCTTAAAAAAGAATATTCAATTTAAAATACCTATTCTCAAAAAAAACCCCACCCCACCCTATTTAAATTCTGTTTTATCTCAATACACACATTTCTAAATGCACTTTATCTTAAAATATTCCCTTTTAATGCATTTTGGTACTTTTCTTCGAGTCAAGAACTGTATCAAAAAGTTCAGAGAAGTGCAAAATATGAAGGTAATTATGTTCCAGTCCAGGAGGTGTGGATCAAGTCACTCTGTATTGGAATTCACGGGAATCAAGTTACTTAAATTTCCCTTCACTATTGTGCAGCATTTTGGAGAGCTCCTATTGTATACCTGAGGGAGGACACTGGATATCAGTGGTTTCATCCCATAAGCCAGCTAACCTGTGGGCCTCTAGATACTGTTGAACTGTAACCCCCATCACCCCAACCCCATATCATGCTAGCTGGGGCTGACTGATGTTGGAGTCTAACATCTGGAGGTCCGTGGGTTAGCCACACCTGCCACAAGGGTTCCAATTTGTTTTCAACTTCTGATGAACACAACTGATTGACAAGCTTCGCAGTTGCCCTCATCTCTGATCTGTAACTCACTTAAGCCAATTTGCCTTCACATAATTTGTCCAGTTCTGTTTTTTAATTCAATTCCACACGAACGAAACTACAAAGTAATCTCGCGCAAACAAGGGCATTGCTGCCCTCTTTCTCCAACTGAGCTATGCGCCCCGTAGCATGTGATACATTACCAAGGCGCCGCAAATTAAATAAATTAGTTGTGTAACACTGAATAAATGAATCCCAAATTTCATTTCATTTCATGGTGCTTCCATTTGTTTATGAAATGAAATTGAATTGCCATGCAGATCCTGAAGAAAGCGTCATTTTCAGCTTTTAATCATTCAGTTAAGTCATCACCTCAATGGCAGGAGCCGGGAGGAGCACAAAGCACAACTGGGAAAGGCAACAGGAAGCAGAACTTGGGGGCTTCCAAGTCGTTCTTTGGTTTAAAGCAGGGGCAGGGAACTCTTTTTGCAGCCCAAGGGTAACATTCCCTTCTGGGCAAGATTCTGAGGGTCATATACCAGCGGGGATCGGGGCCAGAGCCAAAAATGGGTGGAGCAATGGATGCAAATTTTGTAGTTTAATGCACACTCTCTCACACACACACACACACATACACACACACCTGATCCTCCATTCAGACAAGCAAGAAGCAATATCAGAGTTCAAGGGAACATTCCAGCCAAGTAAAAACACTTGGGTACAGTAAGGATTGTGGCTTAGGGAGAGTTCTGAGGTCCAGATATAGAGAGACTTGGAGGGCTGCCTTTGGCTCCTGGTTTAAAGCCAAGACCCCTCTTTCATTGATTTTCTCCTTCCCTTCCTCCCCTCCACAAGCACTGGTATGTGTCACCCTGAAACTCTTAAAGCAGGAAAGCCTGGAGCTTGAATGGTGGGTAAACCCTCCTGCAGAAGAAGATGAAGAAGAGTTTGGATTTGATATCCTGCTTTATCACTACCCGAAGGAGTCTCAAAGCGGCTAACATTCTCCTTTCCCTTCCTCCCCCACAACAAACACTCTGTGAGGTGAGTGGGGCTGAGAGACTTCAAAGAAGTGTGACTAGCCCAAGGTCACCCAGCAGCTGCATGTGGAGGAGCGGAGACGCGAATCCGGTTCACCAGATTACGAGTCTACTGCTCTTAACCACTACACCACACTGGCGGGAAGGGTGACTGTGCCTCCACTCGCAGAGAAGGCTGCCCAGAAAAATAAAAAGGAGCCCTCACCATCTCCCAGAGCCGATGCCGGTTCAATGAGATCACCACCAAGGTGGGCCTCACCAGGAAGCCATCGTCATTGAAGGAGAAGTCCCTGTTTTCCCACGTCACGTTGAGCAAATGCCTGTCGGGAGGAAACGAAAAGCACTTTGAGGTTGCCAGGAGGGAAAGGACAAGCGAGAAGTTCCCCCATTTCATCAGTGCAATGTGCTCCATTTGTCTTCCTTTGAGAGAAAACATTTCCCCTCCCGTCTCTCTCGCATGCTGACCTTGCAACAACCACCCAGGCCTCATCAGTTCAGAGCAAGATGGTCAAAGTGCATTTTACCGAAAATGCCTACACCTCCCTACGAGCTCAGACGTTGCTTTCCCCAAGAGATGCAAGAGTGAATGAGAAAGGATTTAGTAGAAAAGCCTTCTCGCAAGTGGTCTTATGGGGAGAGCACCCGGCAGCAATAAAAATGTCAGCACATTTGCAAAGCTGACCAGGGTCTGGTATGGTTTCATGTTGTGTGTTCAGATTCCTACACTGCAGGGGGCACTCACCTGCAGCGCACCTGAGCCATGTGTCTCTCCTGGGAGTGACGCAGTAGCTTGGGTGCCCACAGGCTCCGCGCTGCCCCAAATGGTCTGCCTGCCACCTCCCCCTCAGCTGTATGGTGGCTAAGTGGGAGGAGGCAGGCAGACTGCTCAGAGGCCCCGCAGAGTGTCCTACCCCGGCTCACCACACCCCTGGGGATGGCTGGCCCCTCCCCTGGGCGCAGGGCTCGTGCACCGCCCCAGGCGCCCAATCGGCTTTCTCCACCGCTGCATCACTGCCTCCAACAGCGGAAGCAGAACATGCAATGTCTAGTGGCTTGACAGACTAAACCTCCATGATTTTATCCAATCCTCTTAGCCATCCAAGTTGGTGGCTGTCACTTGGTGGGAGCAAATTCCACAGTTGGTGGGAGCAAATTCCACAGCGATCTGCTTTGTGAAGCTCTTTTGTCTGCCCTGAATCTTCCAAGATTCAGCTTCATTGGATGAATCCAGGTTCATCATCCTTCCCTCCTTAAAGGCTCCTGCGCTTGCCCTGCTGCCTTCCAGCCGACTCCCTCATCCACATCTAATACTTGCAAGGTTATGATCTTCAGGCTGCTCCACCAGCACCAGTCCCATTTATTTGTCTATTATTTATACCCACAGAGTGACTTGAAGGTTGTGCAAGTACCCATTAGTAGCAAAGCCCAAGATTTACATAACTCCCAAGTTAAAGCCGTTGCTCAATTATTGAGTGTCACACTCCAGAACTGTTCATTAAAACCGGGAAATTAAAAAATGTTTCGCTCAGTTAGCTTTCTTCATACTTTAGATTTTTGCCATCCCTTGACTCACAACAGTTGAGCCTTCCTCGGCTCTCTTTCTTTCTTTCTCCCTCCCACCCTCTCTCATTCTTCACTGCTGTACCAGTGACCACACAACCCACTTGAAACTATGGTGATCGGCTCAAACGACAGAAAGAAGAATAGCAAAGAGCTTCAAAATATCAAAGGGGGTGGTATCCAACATCCCTTGTTTGCTAGCGCAATGACTCTTGGGTGAGCTTTACTGTTGTGCTACAACTCCCAGAGAGATTGTTAGTTATATCACTCTGAGAATTGTAGTTCTGTGGCGGGGATAGGACTCTGCTAACAACTCTCAGCACACTTAACTACAGCTCCCAGAATTACCTGGGGGGAGCCGTGCCCGTTTAAAATGGAATGGAATGTGCAATAAGCTGGAGAATTGCATTTGTAGAAAATGGGCCATTTCTAAATGCAGAATTATGACTGCAGAAAATGGCAGAATTCTCAAGTGTATGAAAACTAAAGTCTCTCTAACTACCAAGACACAAAATCTTCCTTACAAATGGTTGCTGCAAATCAAATTCTAATTTCTGATGCACACCAGTAGCCAACAGGGTTTAAATCGTGTTAATTAATAGGCTGTTGCCCGGGCTGACCTGTAGAAGGTGTTGTTTGTGGGTATACTTGAAGGTGTCTTGTTGTTGCAGTCTCTACCCACTATGGGAAGGTAGCCATGGGTCCTAAAATAGCTCTCTGCTCCGAGGGCGATGATAGCCACACCATCCCGGACCTTTTGCCTCAGGCTCATTTTCCAGCTCTCCGTGACCACACTGATGAGGCCAATTGGGAAAGAGGCAGGTGGGACATCCATGTTCCCCACGGTCAGGCTAGGCACAATCCAGATATAGCCAGGTCCAATCAAACCAGCCTGTTCTGCCACTTGGAAGAGGTATTCCGCCTCCTCTCGCGAACAGTACACAATCATCACCTGAGCATCTAGCTGACGCAGCAACCTTTGGATCTTGGAGTTGCTCCCGTCCTGGGACATCTCAAAGGTGAGGACATCTTGGATTTCCCAGCCAAAGTAGCTGGCATCTGTGAAGGACCGTATCACATCCAAGAAGACACTGTATCCAGGATATAGGCTGGTGATAATGGCAAAGGAGCTCCAGTCATATTCCTCCAGGACTTTGAAGATCACCTGTATTTGCTGTTCAATTGAGACACCCAGCTGTAGAAAGGCAGAACCAGCCTCCTAGGAAAGATGAAGAGAGATGGGTTAGTAAAAGGGGGTACATGAATAGTTTTAAAAATTTATTTACTTTAGTCCGTCGTTACTGACTTCTTAGCTATTTTCACAGACCTTGAATAGCAGGCTTGATGGCCACTCTTGTTCTCAACACTCACACTTTCCCAATTTAATATGAGCTGTGAGGTGCAAAACCTTCCTTTTGCTTCCAGATTTGCCACCTGCTTGCTGCATAAGCCCGGGTGCATCAGCAGAACTCTCTCTGTAGCTCAGAGCTCTCCGATTTTAAAACAGGAAGTACACACCCCACCATTAAAATCTGCAAGTCTATTGTGGAACTCAATTAGTCAATCTTTATATGATGATATATAGAGGCAGAAGATGTGTCATCACTTCTGGCACTTATTTCCTGCTCTGGCTCAGCTGCTCTTTGCCTGGGCCAGCTGTTACAAGTGGTCTCTTTCATCCCCAGTTCCTAATGGCTATTCCTGGTCTGTTCTTGTTTCCTACACTAACATTTGATTCTCTTGCTATACGGGCGAATGCACATACCCATACATACTCACAGAACAATAACTTTCAAAAGACTCAGTTGCTCCGCCACCCACAACACAATTTCCAGAACATCCCGTTTTACAAAGCAATGGCGAATGTCACAATCCACAAACGAAACATGGTCCAGAGCAGGCATAGGCAAACTCGGCCCTCCAGATGTTTTGAGACTACAATTCCCATCATCCCTGATCACTGGTCCTGTTAGCTAGGGATGATGGGAGTTGTAGTCCCAAAACATCTGGAGGGCTGAGTTTGCCTATGCCTGATCCAGAGTATCTTCATTTGGGAACTTAAGCTCATTTGAGTCAACATTTGGCAAGGTCAAAATTTTCCTAGCCAAGTCAATCAGCCTAAACAGTCACTGAATTCATTCTTGCCCTCTGTGTATGTTTCTATTTTAAAAGCCAAACCAAACCTTCAGTATTAAAACACAAAGGGGGAGGGGGGAATCACATGGAGAACTGACTTTGTTGAATACTCTGTTTTTCAGTAAGTACTTGCCTGATATCCATCTGAATATTTCATTTGTCTAATCTCCCTCTTTGGCCCAGCCTGGCCCTCTTAAGGACAAGATTAACTGATTGGTATTTATCTTTAAAACATTTACAGAACAGTTTGGAGTTGGAGAGGTGTTCTGTTATTTTTTTTGGGAAGAAACTCACTTGGAAACTCAGCAAGATTTTTTTTGCTGCAGTTTCCAAATAATTGTTTTCTAAAGGGATGCAAAGCAGTTCCAGACAAAACCACGTAGGAAAGATTTAGTAGGCAAATTGAGATAGTCAATGTGGGTTGAAGAGGACCTGGCCTGCCTTGGAATCTGAGGTTGCAGCAGAGGTATAGGGGTTGTCAAGTGAAAGAGCAAGGAGAAAACAAATGGGTTTCAGAGAGGTATATAATCCCAGGACAGCAGCAGCAGCAGCGAAGATTGGATGAAAATGAGGAAAACAGATTGCCAAGATCAAACCTAAATCAGTTAGGACCATGAAGAAAGATCTCCCTTGAAAAATGAGCACTCTAAAGAACATTAAAACCACTAGTTTGGCAGTAGGTGACATTCTGCTCCTTGCCTTTCCCTCCCCCAACTTCCACTACCTAAGGACCATCTTGCCCTGAGGGGAGGGGAGAGAGAGAAGACCAAACAACCCGGATAGCTGCTCACCATTTAGCTCCTGGAGTTCCACTGAATGTAGTCTTTCCATCTCTCATATACCACCACAGGGGCTATTTTGAAGACTATCTTGCCATGGGGGGAGGGGAGATCTAGCTTTCAACAAAGGTTTCTTCTTTGAAGCTTTCCTGGCTTGTTATAAAGGGCCATGCCCCCTCTACTGACAGAAGGCTCTTTGATCTTTGAAACATTAGCAGAATGGTGGGGTAGGGACATTGAATCATGGCTGTGATTGAAGTTAGTGACTTGATAATATCAGGAGTTATAGCTGGGCTAGAATGGGGCTCTTTCCATTCAGCTGCATGGGCTTGGAGGATGGCTCATAGAGAAGAAGAAGAGTTTGGATTTGATATCCCGCTTTATCACTCCCTTTAAGGAGTCTCAAAGCGGCTAACATTCTCCTTTCCCTTCCTCCACCACAACAAACACTCTGTGAGGTGAGTGGGGCTGAGAGACTTCAAAGAAGTGTGACTGGCCCAAGGTCACCCAGCAGCTGCATGTGGAGGAGCGGAGACGCGAACCCGGTTCCCCAGATTACGAGACTAGCGCTCTTAACCACTACACCACACTGGCTCTCAAGCATTTAAAGCATAGAGAGCATTTAAAGCAGCCTTTCTCAACCTGTGGGTCCCCAGATGTTGTTGAACTACAACTCCCATCACCTCTAGCTAGCAAGGCCAGAGCTCAGGGATGATGGGAGTTGCAGTCCAACAACATCTGGGGACCCACAGGTTGAGAACCGCTGATTTAAAGGGAGCCTGCCCAAGATTCAACTCTGACAACTCAGAGAGCATTCACAAGCTTAATCAGAGAAGTTCAAGCACTGTACAGATCCCTTGCTCCCAAAGCTTGGGAGGCTTCCTGAGTTTTCCCCTACGCCAGCAATGTCCAACTGGTCAACTGCGATTGACAGGTAGATCCCTGGGATCCTTATTGATTGTGGGAATATAAGCAAAGTATTTTGAATGATTCTGCCCCTGCCCCCTTGCTCTGTCCATATGCACCCCCTTAAAAAGCTCAACAACTTTGGCCTCCCCCCCCAAAAAAGCTGAGGAACTCTGGGCAATCTTCCCCTTTGACACGCCCACCCCACACACGCTCCTCCTCCCTCCAATGACAATGGGTAGATCACTGCCATTTTTTTTATAATGGGAGTAGATTGCAGTCTCTTGGGAGTTGGGCGTGCCTGCCCTATGCCAATGGTTCAGGAACCACAGATTTCCCTGCAGTCCCCCCCCCCCCGGGATCAGCATTTGGAAGCTTTTGTATAGCTCAGTCTCAGCTGTGTCCAGAATTTAGAAGGATGGGGGATGATTTTTTTTTTTTAAGCAGATGAAATTCACTGGCTATGTTCAGACATTATGCTAAACTATGGTTTAGCACAGGGTTTCCCAAACTTAGGTCTCAGCTGTTTTTGGACTACAACTCCCATCACCCGTAGCTGGCAGGACCAGTAGTCAAGGATGATGGGAATTGTAGTCCCCAAAACAGCTGGAGACCCAAGTTTGGGAAACCCTGGTTTAGCATTATGTGAACAAGCCTTGGGCTCATCAGCACCGCTCTCCTCCTCTGCAACAAACCACAGTTAAGATTAGCCACCGTCTAAAGTTCAGCTGTAATGCGAAGCTCCAGTTTATTTAAAATGGAAGCGAAAGCTTCCGATCTCCTCCTTGTGGCCACGCTGGAGACGATGGCAGGGAGGAGGAAGTGAACAAGCGAGGCACTCATGCACGTAATGCTAAGCCATACATTAGCATTAAATCTAATGAAAACTGAAGGTGCTACTTCATTACTGCAAATGTGACAGCAAAACTAGAACACCAACAATATGATGTGAAAACGAACAAGTTTCCCCTAAGAGTACTCCAATAAAGCTCAAAAACACGGAACTGATTCTGAAACAAGCTTTTGGTGATGATTATTTATGATAAGGACTGGGTGCGGCCCTCTAGATGATGCTGGACTCCAGCTCCCATCAGCCTCATCCTGCACGGTCATCTGGAGGACCATCCCCGATTTATAATGTCCCCAAGAAAGTCAACATTTGCGCCGCAAAACGCAACCCCATAATCATGCCTTAATGTATTCAAATGCTATGCTAAAATATAAAAATGAGCCAGCATTCCTATGAGATCAGTGTTTGCATCAGTGAATTAAAACACTTGAAATGAAAATATTCTGCTTATAGAAAAACAAAATTTCAATTGTTGATCAGAGCCAGTTGAGAACGGTGAAGCACCGTAACCCTCTTTTTTGCATTGCTATAAATGGAAACTATATAAATGATTACTTGGTGTTTAGCTAAAGGGTGGGGAGGAACAGTGATTAGCATTTCCACCACCACCACCCCCTGCTCTTTTTAAGAGCTTGATTGTGCCTGGGTGTCATTTTGAATGAAGTGCTCACATTATTTTAGTTTATTTTAAATAAATTAGATTGGGGGAAAAGGTGAGCATGCTTTCACATGCATTAAAGCATTTCTCGTCCTCTCCTTCAACGTGCAAGCCCTGGGTGCTCAGAAAGGTCGCCGCGTGTGTGTAATCCATGCAGCATTTACTTGTGACCTGCTGCTGACGCACATCATGGAAGGAGGTTGGCAAGGAGGGAGGGGATGCAATATGCTAATGCTCTAAATGAACTTCTCCTGTTGTTCTTGGCCCCGAGGAAACACTGTGGAAACACATTAGGCAGCTCAACCAATGTTATAACCAACGTCCATTCCCTATGAGCATTAGCTTCTTCTGGGGGAAGGGGGGAACCTTCTGGAGCTTCTCCTCTTCTCTTCCTGCTCACTACAGGCATGACAAGACTACCACAGCCTTTCTCTTACACTACTTTGAACAGTGGTAAGCAAAGGGACCGTGTGGATTAACGTGCCGGAGAGCCTTGTGTGAACAGCTAGCAAGCTGGGAGGCACTGATCTGGGTTACTGCCAGAAATACTGGAAATAATGGCTCTCTCTCTGTGTGTTTTAAGGCCTTCCCAATAGAGCACAATGTTCAGCACCATGGAGAGCACTTCAGTTGCTGCATTGGCAGGGCTTGTCGTGCCCACTCAGCCATGATAGCCCACCATTGATGGTGGGAGGCATATTTCTTTTCGTGTGCCTGTTCCCATGTACGCATAACTTTGGGGTTGACAGTGGGGAGCCTTTAGCAGCAACAGGATCATACAGGACATGAGCATTGAGCCCTTTTGCTTCCTCTGCCTTACTTGGCTGTAGTCCACTGTTTCAGTCTCTCTCACACACACCAATTTCAGGTTCACCTCTGGAACCTGGACCAACAGAAACAGAGAAATGGAACTGGAGCAAACAAGGCGACCAGGAAACACAGAGGATGGGTGAAGTTTCAGCCCACTGACCCTTTCTGCTTACACCCACCCACACACCCTGCTTTCTTGTAGCGGACATGTGAACAATGGTTTCCATTGCATCTGATTGGGCTCCTGCCGTGTGTGTGGTGGGTGTGTGTGCGCGCGCGGCTGATAAGGTGGAACAGAGGTGGAAAAGTACATGGCGGGGGGTGGCTTCCCAAAATGGCAGCCCCTGTGTTGATCTCGCTTTCCTTCCCCTTCAATCTATAGCCATTGAAATATGCGTCATGATCTCATTGCATGGTGCTATTTCCTCACTCCAATGCAACAACAGTCAGCGAATGATGTGTCACCTGTTTCCACCACTCTATTATATGAGGAGCAGGAGACTGAACTCAACCTGGGACAGAGTTGCTGTTGGTCTTCAAATGAGAGGAATATGCACTTGTTTAACAAAATTGAACACCTGGCCAGGAAGTGGGCTTTCAGTGATGCCATTGGGGGAGGCCTTTGGGGCAGAAGTTTAAACCCCCCCCCTAATTTAGCAAAACAAGCAGGAGGATTCCCCAAATGCATCAGGGTGGGGCTGACCACAAGTCGAAGTGAAGGAATACATTTTACCATCTAAAGGAGCACCCCACCCCACCTTGAGACCATGAAATTCAGAGACTAAAATGATCTTAATTCACCATAGACTGGCCCCTTCCTCTGATGTTCACTTCCATGTGGCAAGATGCTCCTCTGGAAATGCAGGCGATAGCTATCACCCCACTGTCACGGACTCATGCTTGGGTGGGTTTGTGGTGGCAAGATCCACCAGGGCTCTCCCTATGCCACTGTTACATCGTGTAACAGATAGGCTGCTATGGGTGGGGTTGCTTGCAGCCACCACAGGGATGAGCTTCCGCATGATGAGACATCGCCCCACTAGCTCTTCTAGAAAGCATGGCTTTAATTTGGCGAGACCCAGCAGCAAGTTCCTGTCAATAAGCCAGAGGCCCTTTTTGACTGGAGAGCAAGAACTTGTTAGTGGCCAGCTATGGACATTTCCATGAATTGCTTTATGGAGCACATGTTGCCAGGGGAATGAGCACTAATGGAGCATGGCGAAGGTGAGGAGGCTGATCCAAGGTGGTCCTTATTGTTCCTAATCATGTCCTAAAGGCTTCCCCCCACCCCTCAAGGTAAGTATCACACATGATATTGGTCTTACGTAAGCTGTGCTGCCATTGAACGAGGCTCAGAGAAATTTCCCCGTGAGCAGGTGACAGTAACCGTCGCTGACATCCTGTGACAGGCAGGCAAGCCAAAAATAATTACACAGCGCACAGCCCACCTGTAAGGAATCAGGGTGCCCTACAGCAACCACTGCGCTGAACTTGTACGTGCTCTGAGCCGGTGATTTAAGAGGTAAATGCAGCCTGGCTGGGGTGAAACATGGGACTGGATCCCACCCTCGCCCACCTGAGCTACATCCCAATGGCTTTGGGATGGATGCAGAACAGATGGCATTTTGCCTTCCTTCCCACTAGCCTCTCCTCAACATCAGCATTCTCTGCACAATAACTTGTTGGGACTTGCTTACAACAATTGGTCCAGAAATCAATAAACGGACATCACATATTGACAAAGTCATTGGCCACTCAGCTTCCTCCCCTCATTACGAAGCGAGACAGTCCATTTTTCCCTATTTCAGCAGTACGGAAGGTTTTCAGTAGGCACTCCATAATCAAAGCAAGTTTATCTGATTTCCATTTCCTGACCAAGACAGTTTTAGCAGCAGCTAACAAATAAATGGTTGGTTGGATCATTGGTCTCTAAAACGACAACAACAGTTCTTGGCCATTCAGGGCCAGGAGAATATAACACAGATTATCAGGACCCTGGACCCTGTCCCTCCACATGCTGGTAACTATTAGCTTATAGCCCATGGGTAGGCAAACTAAGGCCCGGGGGCTGGATATGGCCCAATCGCCTTCTAAATTCGGCCCACGGACGGTCCGGGAATCAACGTGTTTTTAAATCAGTAGAATGTGTCCTTTTATTTAAAATGCATCTCTGGTTTATTTGTGGGGCACAGGAATTCGTTCATTTCCCCCCAAAAAATATAGTCCGGCCCCCCACAAGGTCTGAGGGACTGAGGGCCCCTTGCTGAAAAAGTTTGCTGACCCCTGATAGCCTTTGGCCATAAAAACAGTAGCAACAGGCTTAGGGAAATGGAACTGTAATGGAACTGCTACAGCCTGACTTTGCTTGTATGGTGTATGAGATATTTGGCAACATACTTGGAATTAATAGTCACATTACAAGTGGATGAGAGTAACCTGTTTAGAACACAAATTCTTCTTCTATTATATTCCTTATGAGGAACGGCTAAGGGAGCTGGGCATGTTTAGCCTGGAGAAGAGGAGGTTAAGGGGTGATATGATAGCCATGTTCAAATATATAAAAGGATGTCATATAGAGGAGGGAGAAAGGTTGTTTTCTGCTGCTCCAGAGAAACGGACACGGAGCAATGGATCCAAACTACAAGAAAGAAGATTCCACCTAAACATTAGGAAGAACTTCCTGACAGTAAGAGCTGTTCGACAGTGGAATTTACTGCCAAGGAGTGTGGTGGAGTCTCCTTCTTTGGAGGTCTTTAAGCAGAGGCTTGACAACCATATGTCAGGAGTGCTCTGATGGTGTTTCCTGCTTGGCAGGGGGTTGGACTCGATGGCCCTTGTGGTCTCTTCCAACTCTATGATTCTATATAATTTTCCCAAACGTCTAGCATTAGACTTTTCCTAGAGAGAGAGGTGGACCATACAGCCATACAGAATGGGTGGTATCCAGACAAGTAGCACTGCCAGTGCAAGGACTTCTGGCTGCACAGCGCAACATCCCCTCCCTCTCATCTCCCTGCAAGTCCCACTAAATCTGTTTTGGAGCAGGTTCGGGAAGGGTGTGGTGGCAAGCAGAGAGGGACAGGAAGCTACGTTGTGCTTCTTTGCTCTGGTGGCTTCACCTGAGATACGGTATTCCCTACAAAGGAATTTTCTGCAAATGCTATCACACCGCAGGTAAGCTGAAGTCCAGGCAGTCACAAAGAATTCACTGTATAATTAACTAAACAATACAATGATCTACATGGCTACTCAGAGTAGGTCTCTTTGTGTTTCATGGGGTTTGCACCCAGGTAAGTGAGTGCAGGATTACAGCCTTGACTGTCTTGTGAGGAAGGAGCAAAAAGGTTGATAGCGATGGGGCCAGTATCAAGGCAAAACAAACAGATATTAAAGGCAGCCTATGTTTATAAGAGAGCGGTATAAAATCAACAATAATTTTAACATGTTACTAATAAAATAAAAATTATTCTGCAACATTTAAAAATCCCGGCACATGTCAGTGATTTTGCAGTTGGGACAAAACACTATAAAGTAGGAGCCAGTATTGATGCTGTTTTAAACTGAGCAGTTAGGGAAAGTACTGGCTCCTTAGTATTTTACCTATAAAACTAAAATAGTTAAATAATATATATATATTAAAGTACAACCCTCTTCTTTTCACAGCACCCCACCCACTCCCCTGTGGCTACAGGCCTAAGGCAACTACTTCTGGAGTGCAACTGAACATAGGGATTATGCATTGGTGAAAAAAAAAGCAATAACCAGGCTAGACTAAGACTAGTTGAAACCTTAGAACTGTACTAAAATGCAGGGGTGGGGTACCCAGGAAAAAATATGAAACTGTATAGTGCAATGACACATCACTATGGTTAAAGGAAGCAAATTTTGATGCTTAGGATACAAGCACTAAGTTCCCTTTTGCACCCAGCTTTAATCCTCCTTCTATATCTTTGCAATAGCCATGCGAAGTAGGTTAGGTTGAGAGATGTTGCCTGCCTCAATTTAGGAAACGAGCAAATGCAATGAGAAGCGAGTTCGAAATATTAACTGCACATGCTCAGAGTACTTTCTTTTTGTTTACTGCGACTGTCATGGGCAGTTATATATTTTGCTGATAGGAGTCAGGTTCTTAGTGGCTACCCACTGCTATAACCCGACACATTTATGAATGGTGCACTGCATTCACCCCCAGTCTCCCAAAATAATGAAAAGGTTTTTTCACCTTGGGTGTTAGGACCACAGCAGATCCTCCACTGATGCTAATGATGGGTACGTTGGTCTGGGACGAGATGAAGTCTAGAATCTGCGCCACGGCTTCTGTGCCGATGTTGTCCTCAAAGACGATCCCGTGAATTTTCGTGCTGGACAGCATGTTGCAGATTTGGGTCAAGAGAGTCCTGGGGTTGGTGTCATTCACTACTACGGTGACCGGGTGGATCTCCAGAGGCATATCCAGGAAGCTTTGGTGCGTCAGCCGGCTGCGGATGTGGACAGGGTAGGAAGATCCCCCGAAAACCACGGCCACCGTTACCACTGGTTCCCCGGAGCTTGGCAGCGAGTCATCCATTAGGACAGCTGAACAGCCCAGCACCATGGACAGCACCAGGGTGTTTGTCAGAGCTCTGCCCATGTCCACCATGGATTGCCTGCAACCCAGGACAAAAGAAACATCGGTCGGAAAAGGACAGCGACAAAGGATCCAGAAGGAGAGCTGGAGGGAGGCATTAAAAGATGCTGTTTTGCCAGCAGATCTAAAGTCAATCGCACACAACTGTTTAGCCACCAACGTGGGCCAGCCACCGAGCGTACGGGAGACAAGGGAGCTAATCCCAGCCTTCTGACAAGCTTGTCTGCACGATATGCCACTTTTTGAACACCTGCTTGCTGTGTGCATGCTCTGCATTTTTAGTCTCACATAAGGACACAACAACAACTTAGGGGAAGACCCGTGTGGAGTGGTCCCTGAGCAATAAAGCGACTGGTGGATTTATTCCACAAAGCAGTCGCTACGCTATCCCCCCCCCTTAATATAGGCACATTTGACGCCATGCTTTCTTCCCTCCGAATCCAACCACACCTGCTTCACCCATTCCCTCTGTCAGATCAGCTCTCCAGCTAACCTCCACCCCATCTGTTTATCAGCCTGCCCCCAGCTTTCACTCAACCTCCTTCCCCACTTCCCACCCTCCAGCCTTGCAGTCAATCCCTTCTCACAATCCTTTGCCCTTCCTGAACCTATAGCCACCTTTTCTCTTGCCACTAAGCTCCCCTCCAATCACAACCCTGTTCTTCCCAAACATCCGCACTCAGATAAGTTTCCTTCCATCATCCTGAACACCCTTTCATCCGGGGGGTGTGTGTGTGTGAGGAACCTGTGGCCCTCCAGAAGCTAACAAGACTACAAATCCCATCACCCCTGGCCACGCTGTCTGGGGCTGATGGGAGATGGACTCCTGCAGCCTCTGCCAAGCCACAAGTTTCCCCATCCCTGATTTAATCCCAGCCACTTCTACGCTTTCCTCAACCCAAATTTCCCTCTGCTGCCACCCAGTGGCCTTTTCCCAATGCTTCCTCGTTCTAGCTTTTTCCTAACGAGTCTCTTTGATTTCTTAGCGTCATTCAATCACTGCTCATGTATTATATATTTCCTTTTTAAAACATTCACTGCAGTGATCTCCATTTTTATTATTCTTCTTTGGTATATTTTATAGGGCACATAGGCTTGGTAGGCAAAACATCCCAGGTTCAGTCCCTGAAATCTCCAGGTGAATCTGCCTGAAACCCAGCTAGACAGCTGCTGCCAGCCAGTGCAATCAGTACTGACCAATGGTCTGGGCAGCTCCCTATGTTCCTATTTTGGTTAGAATAATGACTTTTCTAACACACAGGCTAGACAGAGGCAGAAAGAAGAAGCAGCAAAAAAACTCCAATGCAAAAGGCTCGAGGCTAAATTGCTTGGCGCTTTGTATAGCTGACAATCAAATATTTAAGAGGGAAGACTCTCCCATTCCATCAGTCATCTGCACTGTAAATCTTCACTGTAAATTCAACACTCATTGGCATCCCTGCCAGCAACCGCCAGTCACACAATGTACTGGATCTCTCTCCCCCTTCCGCTGCATGAATTGGAAGATCAGCACATCTTACCCTGGAAACTCTCAAAGCAAAGGCAGCTCATTCTGTAGCATCATAAGGTAGATCTTTGTTAGCAGAAGTGGAAGAAAACTGCCCTTCTTCAAGCCAAGTCTAGGCTTCATCGAGGGCAATTTAATTGGGTTATGCTTGGCAAATCTGCTTTGGGTAAGGGGCTGCTCTGCTTCGGACCATTTCGGATGAGACCTGCTTTGCTTCAGATCCACAGTGAAGGGTGGCTTTGGTTTTCCAAAGCTTCATGTGTCTCTTCATTGACTATAATGAAGAAATCAAGCAATGGCTAAATATATATATTAACCTGTTTGCCAGAATTGGATGAAACTTACAGGTAGTGTAGCTGCTTCTGAAGGGGTGAAAACCAGCCAAATTTCAGATTAATGTTCTCCAAAGATTCACAGACCTCCCTGACTTCAGCCAAATGCAACTAGGGTCAGAATGGGATGGAAAGTGGAGGGGGAAAGGAAGTGACTTGCCTAATTGCTAGCACTCAGGCATAAACAAACAACTGCAAGTGTCAAGAGGAATTAGGATGCAAGAATAGGATTGATTTCAAGAAAGCTTTGGTCTGGACTAGAATAAGATCACACACTACCAGCAACAATTCCAACTGTTTCAACTTTGCGGCTCCTAGAAGAGTAATCATCCCCTCCAGTTGCAACTGGAGAACCCTGGTAAAGTCAATCCCTAGTTGGAAGCTATAGCTGTCAGATATTTGGGTTCCAAAGAACGTTCGCAATCCAAAACACTCACTTCCGGGTTTGCGGCGTTCGGCAGCCAAAACATTCAAGTCAGAAGGTGTTCGAGATCATAGGTACGACTGTATATAAAAACATAATAAAACATTAAACATTCAAAAACTTCCCTATAGATGTCTTCTAAAGGTTTTATAGCTACTTGCCTCCTTGGCTTGGTGGTCGCATAACTCCATACCCTCTGACATTTCGCTGATGAAAACAGGGATGTGTTAAGGAAAAGCGTGACATTCCGGGATCAAATCAGAAACTGGGGCAGCTTCTGTAAATCTGGGACTGTCCCTGGAAAATAGGGACACTTGGCACGCTCAACAAACTACAATTCCCAGGATTCTTTGGGGCTGTCAGATGTGTGCTAAATGGTGCTTTATATAGTGTGGAAGTGAAGCGTGGCTACCTCAATCTCCCCCAGGACCCCAAAATGTAACGGAGGATCCCTCCATGATCTCCCCTCCCTTTGCAGTACAGTGGTACCTCGGGTTAAGTACTTAATTCTTAAATTGACTGAAGCTATTATACAGTTGAAACAGGCCATATGCAAAAGCTGCTGTTGCAGCAGTTTAATGCAGCTCCTATTTTTACTTTTTGAACAGACAGTTTTGAGGTCCACTTACTCACTAATCGCTGTGAACGCCAGCCATGGATTACATTACTTCCTTAAAAAAAACCACATCTTCTGCTGGATGATGGCAGTACAGTGATACCTTGGGTTAAGTACTTAATTTGTTCCGGAGGTCCGTTCTTAACCTGAAACTGTTCTTAACCTGAGGTACCACTTTAGCTAATGGGGCCTCCTGCTGCTGCCGCACGATTTCTGTTGTCATCCTGAGGTAAAGTTCTTAACTCTAGGTACTATTTCTGGGTTAGCGGAGTCTGTAACCTGAAGTGTCTGTAACCCGAGGTACCACTGTAAAGCGTAATTCAGTGAAATTCTGTGGCACACCATACTTCCCAGGTGAAAGAAAATTACAGGTGCAGAAATGAAAAATGTTGAGATGGATGTTGGTGCTAATAAAGAACGACTGGAAACAATATGGAGAAGTTAGGCAAAAGGCTTCTCTCAGCTGGGGCAGCTCTCCCTCAAAGCGGAAGAGAGGAAAGGAAAGGGCCACCCAAAACACTTTGCTACCTGAGGTAATGAACAAACGGCACCGCCCCTCCCCTCTTCACATATAGAAGTCATCCAGACTGGCAGTAGAGCCTGACTTCACCACTAGTGATGATATTATGTCTTCCACAGTACCTGAGGCACAGGGCCAGATTAAGGCCTTCAGAGGCCCTAAGCCAGCCTTTCTCAACCTGTGGGTCCCCAGATGTTGTTGAACTACAACTCCCATCACCCTTAGCTAGCAAGGCCAGAGCTCAGGGATGATGGGAGTTGTAGTCCAACAACATCTGGGGACCCACAGGTTGAGAACCTAAGCTCTGAAAAGAGTATGGTGCCTCCCATGTAATTCAAAATAAAAACAGTACTAAAACATAAAATAAAATCTTCTTCTTTGAAATGACACTAAACTTACACTGCTGAGGCAGCAAGCTAGTTTGGGGGCAGGGGGAAGACAGGCCATGTAGCGTAAATATCAAGTGATGCAACTTTTTTTTACCTCATATTATCCAATTTTCTTAAAATTTTGTACACTTGTTGAATGAGCATAACTAAAACTAACATTTTAACCTTTTCCCCATCCCGATTGTGAGGGATGAGGGCTTGAATTTTCAAAAAATATATATATGACCATTTTAGCTCTGCCAGGCTACACAAAAACATTAAAAGCTCAGCCCAAAATGGAGATGTGTCAAAACTAAAAACACCAATCTCTTCAAAATTTCATGGGCCTTAATATGATATGTCACATGATGGACTTACTGTAACTTTTAAGTTACAAAATTTAACATTTTAAAAAGTGATTAATAAAATGAATATGATTCGGCAAGGCAAAAGAGGTAAAAACGCTGGATCACTTGATATGGAAAGACCCATCTCTGAAGAGAAAAAAACAGGAGGCCTGGAAGGAGCAGCCATGGGGATGTCATAGCTCCCATCCCTCTGCACCTGCTGTCTGAAGCAGTTGCCTCACTTTACCTAATGGTAGGGCTGGGTTGGCAAATACCAGTCACATACCAGTAAATTCAGATTGCACAATTACAGTTGATTGGGAGGTCTTTCCCATCTATTTCCCCCCATCTACTTTTCCGATAAGGAAAGCGAGGGGGAAATGCCCCGAAAAGTGGGGGATCCACACTTCTTTTGATGCAATTCTACCTAAACATTACTCAAACAAATCAGAACAAAGGCTCATTATATAATGGCTGCCACTGTCTCATCACTCTAAAAACAAATCAGGATGAATGCTTGATAGACAGGTCACCTGGAAGTGCCCAGAGAGAAAATAGTGCCCCACTAGAGTTCTAAAACTGGGTTATAAAGTGCCCCTGCAAATTAAACATTCTCTATGTTTCCCCCCCCTCCAGCCACAAAGGAAATCTGCTCCATGACTCCCCAATTCTTTTGCCTCTGTTTCCTGAGCAGTTAACAAAAACCTTCTTCTCCTTTCCTTCCACATTGCCCTTGGTTCCACAGCAGTTCAGTCTCCGAGTGTCCTTGAGCAATTTTTTATTCTTTTAAATGATGTTGGGGAGCAATATTGTCACTCCCCCTGCTGCCCATCCTCCTGGTCTTATGACTCCTGCTGTCCCTGTGGCTGTGAGCTGCCGCAACGCAGCCTGTCTTCACCATTTCA